TGTCACAGAAGGCTTTGGGGATGATTTTCAGGAAGGAGGCCAAGGAACAGTATACTTAATTTGCCAGGGTGGTAAAATTTTAAAATTTGTGTGTGACCTTGCACAAGATTAGAGATCAAGTAATTCTCAAATAAATGCTGTAAAAATTGTATATTGTATTAACAGAAGAATAGATATTACAATATAAAGACAACGTTGTGGGAAATGGGCCCAGATTAACCGTATGGGTCTTTGGGCACCACATCCTCAGGGGGACCAAGCAGATCAACCCCGCCATAAGCCCCTCTCAACCCCCCCGGTCCTAATTCATGGAACAAGTTAATGCTATTTAATATCTATTTCATTTATAATTATATTTAATATCATAATATGTTAATTGTTCTTTTACTATGGCACTCACTGAGAAGCCTAGGTGACGTATTCCATGTTAGATGCATTTCTGATTTTCGTGAGCAGTCAGTCGGCTTCATTTATTTCTGACATGACATCATGTGTGCTGTTTGCTTAATACTCTTAATCTGGCCCTAGTAGAAAATGTACATTTTTGTATGGTTTTTTCGTCTCTCCATGTGATTTTAGATTTAGTGGTTTTGGTTGCTGCAGTAGAGGAAAAATTGTGCTGATAGTTATATATTATTTTCTGGTTTGATTTCTGCTGTAAGAAATTGTACATTTGAGGCATAGCTAAAGTGTCAGACGCTGGGTGGAGATGGGTAAAAGGTGAAGACCTGCAAACATCTGACACCAGAACATAATTTTTTGGGGGCTTTTTGTGAAAGGCAGGTCTGAAGAAATTTCCTCTCGAAACATGGCAGAAAGTTACTCCTCCAGTTCCAGAATTCGGAATGCTGCGGTCGGGCCCATCATTCACGTCTCCCCCTTAGCTACGGAAAGTCGACAGATGTGGTATCATTCTGTGCTCAGGGTCTGAACTGCTTATGATTTTCAGACACAACGTTTCCAACCTGCCCTGTCTTCTGTAGAACACTAGGTCTGTGCTTTATGCTAATTTATGCTAATAAAACCGCCGGCCCTTCCACACCATTCACTGCGGTGGCGTTCTGCAAGGCAGCCAGAGGGTCTAAAACAATATCATAGGTGATTCTGTTTTATTTATCACTGTAATATAGATCAAAGCACCTTCTCTGTTTTGCCAGGAGCAGACAGGCCGGCCTCTAAAAAAGAACTTAACGATGTTGTCATGGAGGATACAGACACGCGTGACCATTAGAATGAAGCAGTGCTTTGCCCTCAGTGCAAAATTACTCAGGATTTCCACAACGCATGGTGGCCGGGAATTAAATTAGGGCTCGTTAAAATCTGTGTGAGCTTTGCCAGGTGAACCCGGGCGCTCCAAGCGAAACGTATAAATGACTGTGAGGTGGAGCTGTTACCTGCTAACTGAGCTTCTCATCATGTAAGAGCGACGCATTCAGGCTCAGGCAGCGCACAAAGGCTCTCTGTGGACATGACGACGTGGTCCGCTGCGTCCGTCCCGTGGCATGATGGCGGACGGCTTATGCGAGCAGAGGGAAGCCGCTGAGAGGCCCGGTAGGTTAATGGGATATCCTGCTGGAACGTCGCTCTGTAATTCCGATGTGAGCGGCAGGATTCAGGCAGAGTGCGATTGCTGGCATCAAAGGCCTGTTGCTCGCTCCCCATCTTCAGAGACGGCCTTGGATGAAAGTCTCACAATTTTGACATTGCTTGAAAAAATGGCATGATTTCTATATTAGCATGTAATAAAATTTTGAATGATACATTTAACATGGGTTGTATATACAGTGTATGTTTGTGTGCATGTGTTGTTGGCAATAATCCTGAATGCTTTCTTCAGCCAATCTGGTGCCTCTGAGCCCCTTTTATGGCAGTAATCGATGCCTTTTAAGCTTTTACAGTATTGTGGCTGTTAAATGACACCTGTATTACCAAGTTGAAGCCCCTGTAATAGATGGTGTTTGTACACGGACGTATCTCGGGTGTGATTCTGCATAGCATATGATTGGGTCACCATACTTAGATTCCCTGCAGCCACCCGCCTCCCCCCCCAGCCGTATGTCCACGATCTGTGACCAAGACTCATTCTTCACCAGAAACCCCTCGGTGGCACCCGTGGGAGCCCCAGTATTTACAACCCCCCCGACTCCTATGACAGACAGCACTGCTCTGAATGGAGAAATATGTAAAGCTATTTAAAGACACGATTTGTGCATTGCCGCGTTAACCCCCCCTCTGTGTCGGCATGCTGAGTGTGGGTGTCAACCTGTCAGCACGTTTTAGCGGCTGCCCCGTCTCCAAGAGGCTGTGCACGGTCACCCATTCTGTCAGCCTTCTTTAGTCATGGCCGCCGTATCTGCATGCGAGCGACAGCTGTGCCACGAGGAGGGGGCACCTTACCTTCATATATGCATTTGGGGGAGTGTCACTCAAGTGCGTGACTGCTGCACGTAAGACGGCAGTAATGCGACACGGTGTGAAACCAGCCTGTGGAAGCTGGAGGGTACCGTCGTAGCTGAATGAAGATGAAAGGTGCAGGCCAGTTTACGCCTACAGGGGGCAGTGGGGAGCACAGGAAGGCTCACCACGGGCTAACCACTCCTAACTAATTAACCAAACATTCAGCAGTCATTCTAGGCTGCATGTTTCATTCAATATGCTAATAAACATCTGCACCCTAGTAGAAGAATCCCAGTCGTGGAGTCTAACACTCTTTCATTCCAACTATAATAATTAGCATCTAATATGTGCCCCCCCCCCGAATGTTCCTGTAACAGCCCAGAGCTGTCTTAATTTGTATATACATAATTCCAACGTTGAATCTTAAGTGTAAATTAAGTGAATCAGCTGAACACTGATAGCTTGAGGCTTCAGACCGAATAAAATTAATTTTGACAAATAAATGGCAATTTAGCAAATCTTAATAGCACATCTTTATTTGTGTGAAAGCTCGTGTTTCACTTCTGTCACTTTGATCTTCGGAATCATTATGAATCAGGAGCCCGGTGTCCCTCAGGAAGTTGTGGCTTTAGTCTACGCCACGTCGTTAGGTAACATTGGCTGGCTTTTTCATGCAGGCTGTCTCTGCCACCAGCGTTTCACAGGGTGGGAGGGACGTTCTTGTCTGAACGCTCTTTGCCTTTCGGGGGCTGCTGATATGGACAATGGTGGTAAAAAGCACGAGTTTGGGGTAGTGGGTAGGGAGCAGAGGACGGTGTGGGGTTTGCAGATGTGATTGAGTGCCAGCTGTCATCACTAAAAATGTGCAGTGGGCTTGATGAGGTGGAGCGAAGAGACAGGCAATATTGTTCTCTTGTTAAAGGCATGTTTGTGTGGTGCAGTGAACAAGCGGCAACGGAGCGGAATTCCGCATGGTTCCTGTGGGGTTGGTTACACTGCCCTCTGCAGGTAACATGCCCACTGGCGTGCTGCTGTTAAGGCAGGCAAAGCTCGACCCGCCAGGATGGAGACAGATTACTCTATTTATGGCCCATAAGGTGTGAGCAAAGGACAGGAGCTGTGTGGCTATAAGAGGAAAACCACACCCTTGTGAATTAGCAACTTCTCCGGACTGAAATTTGTCAAGAGTTTAAGGGGGATCTCAGATGGAGTAATGTGAGAGGCGCAGACTGTTTTTCTCTTACCGTCTGAGCCACTTGTTTTGGCTTGGCGACATCTTTCGATGGTTTGCCCAAGCTGGGAGGTGCGTCGCCCTGCCGTTCCTCGCTCATGTGTCTGCCGGTCCTCGCTCATGTGTCTGCCAGGCCGCAGCTCAAAGCATGTGGGGCCGGTAGCGTCTCAGCTGCATGAACTGGCTTGTGGCAAAAGAAGTCAAGGCAGGCAGCAACACGCTTGCTTTTGATTTCGTTTTACGTTCTTATATGACGTGGAGTATGATACTCGTCTAAATCGCTGCCTCGTCTTTCACACTTAATTTGTTCCTATCAGCCGGCACCCCGTTCATCCCCCTGCGCCACCCACAGCGACTCACACATTCTTGTGTTGTCGCTTCCAGTAATAATGATTTGGCCCGAGACGGAGCTCATTTTGCCCTTTCCGCCGCCGCGCGCCGTCCGCCATGCTGCCGACTGCAGGACGCCTCCTGCTGCTTCGCATTTCGAATTTCACAGCTGTACTTTTTCTCTCTGTGCTGAGCTTTCAGGAACCCAGAGTGTTCTAATTGTATTATTATGGCTCTTATTATTGCTGTTATTATTATTTTCTAAGCATAAACCAAAAATTGGCACGGACCTCGAGCGTGATGGTGGCAGGGCATGGCACAAATGACATTTACAAAACACGCTCTAGTGTTTATCTGTCCTTCAACACTGCCAATAATAAGGTGTCCCTGCTCTCCTTCCTACCATCCACACCTGACCGTCATGCCCAGCCCCTGCAGATGTATGGTTATCCCTGTAGCATAGCGTCACCTCTAAGATTGAGGGGTCTGTGCCGTCTGCGGAGGGGTGGGGTTTTTTTTTTTTGCCGTTTCTTAAGGAATGTGGCAGTCCTCGTGTGGCTTGTGGGGCGCCCGTCCTTCCAGACAGCTCTCACGGTCCATCGGCTAGGCTGGAATTCGCCTCTGTTGGCTGCTCTGGAATATTCCGCGATTTCATTTCAAGCCGGCTCCCTTTGCCCCTGAAGCGGCCTGACACCAAAAACCCCAGGCTCACAGCCGCCCCCCACACATGACAGTGAGTCTCGCTTTCATTTCCACAGGAAGGTGCGGGGTCTGGCCAGCCCCCCGCTGCATGAGGGAGCCCCCTGCAGGCCATTCATTTCCAAAGCTCATTGAGCCTTTGCTTTTGGGTACAAAACACAGTTTTCTGTTTTTTGAAAATGAGCGGCTGTGCAGCGTTTCAGGGTTTGCTGTCTCCCTCGGGGCCTGGGGTGCGTCGCCTCCACCTCAGCCCAGAGAAACCAGCCAGTAAACAGGCGCGCGCCCAGAAAGGTGCTTCTGGCCGACTCTTTGTTCTTCAGGGAGCACTTAGCATAAACAGATTTAGCTCACGGGGAAGTACAGCGAATTGAGCCTTTTCAGTCTCCGAGCTACAATAGCCTTCATAAACATCACCAAGTCCTCCATCTGAAATAGACCAGCTTTGCCCAATCCTGTCCTCTCCCCTAACCCCCCTTCATGTCTGCCATTTTCAGTTCTGCGGCCGACCTGCCCGCAAACACATGCATGCACGCACATGCCCGGAATCTTCACTTCACAGGCTCTCCCATGCATGTGATGCCAAGAGAAAGCGGTCGCACAACAGCGGACTGTGTCTTATTCTGGAATTACTCTAAATGCAAATGTGAGTCTTTCATATCCCTTGTCAGTAGGGGGGGGTGGTGTTGAGCTGCATTATTATCACCTCTGGCAGTGTGGGCTTCGGTGAAAAAAACCACTGTAAAGAACATAATCCAGGTATATGAATACTAAGCTCTAGTGCACGGAAGCAGGAAAAAAGCCCTTTTCAGAAACAGATGATTAAAGATGAGAATCACTGAGTGAACATCCATTGTAGCCACCAAATGTGATCTTTGGATGAACGCCTAAAGTTAAGTTGCAAAAAAAAAATTAAATTAAATTTTAAATAAAAAAACAAATACCGCATCTGGCTCTGCCTTGGGCGACATCTTGTAGTCGGCTCTCTATTAATAATTCATTTGCACACTCCTTACAGAGATAATATCACACCTGTCTCTCTTTGCCACTGATTTAACCCAAAAATGGAGACAGCTGGCGGTGAAACAGTTAAGGCTCAGATCCGGAATGGACACGGCTCAGAACGCTGCTGTACCCTTTCAATGAGTGGTAGGTAAATTTAAGACAGAGATATAAGAATAATCAATGATTATATGACTGTATGAATATATGAATAAATAAAGTGTAATATTCGCATCTGCCTGGTAACTAAACATTATGTTGATATTTAATATTGATTTATTATATAGCCCAACATGTGATTTAATCCAGAGTGACTAAAGCCTGAAAGTGCATGAGCAGATTTTAAATGACTGTATTTTGGGTTCAGCACAAGGGCTCAGTGTTTGCAGGGTCACTTCTTGCCTGTGGCTTCTGTCTTTTCCCTGTGTTCATGTGTGATTCCTCTCAGTCCAACGAGACGCAGGTAGGTACATCTGTAAAGTATCCGGAGTGAGTGCATGGCCTGCGATGGACAGTCAGCCCGTCTGGGCCACATGCCTCATGATCCTGCTCTGGATAATGGTTTTGGAGAACAGATTTATCATACCACCTGAGTAAATAACCTGCTCATTTTATAATATCTGCAGCTTTTGAATTCTACAGTTCTCCGGGCAAGACTGCGAAGTAAATATTCATTTTGTTGCATGTAATCTTTTCACCAGACTCAGTAATTTGTTATAATGAAACCTGGAGCCATATTGAATTTCAGAGTCGTCCTGCATGGTTATGCCAACCTTTCACTTTATGTGGATGCATGTGTGTATATACTCTGTCCTGGGGAGCTGAGACGATGGATGGATTGGGTCCTTCAGCCCAGTGCAAAGGTCAGTGGACTTTTGCCTGCTATATGTAGCAGGGTTTGTCTGACATGGGTTTGAGCTCATGCTATGCTGCAGGATCTGGGCCTGTATCTCCTCGGACTGGCTCTCTCCTACACAGCGCTACATGTTTCACGTGGGGTGGATGTGCGGCGAATCCAGACTCTGGTGCCCGGTATGGATGGTGTCTGGTATGGATGGCTGTCTTCTCTGCCCTGTCATTAATCTGCATGGCTCGACCACATTAATCCTACCCTGTTCTTGCCTCGATTGCCGTTATCCTTGCAGAATGGCTACCCTGGTTATTAGCTAGAACACGCGCCTCGTTCACAGAGATAATCCAGCCGAATTCTGGGGAAATGAACAAAATGCAGACAGATGAGTGCGAATTTAAAATTCTGGGTAGATATGAAGCCTGGGCCCACCGGGTCACCGTGAGAGCAGGATAAGAACAGAAAAGATGGGGGTGTGTGGGAGGGGCGGCGAGGGAGATGGGCAGGTGTGCGCGCTCTCTGAGGCGGCGCTGCGGAGGTGAGCCCCAGGGGGTAGCGGGCTGCTGCAGATCCGGAGGTAAACTGCAGGGAAAATTATATGCAAATAGCTTGTTGGGAGGAATAAATGGCATATTTTCAGGCTTCCTCTGATACGAATCACCATCTGACTGCCTTCTTTTGTCATTTGTAAATTGCATTACAGTTTGGCACCTCTATTGGTGGAAGGGAGATCTTTGTGATTTTTTTCTTTTTTTCTTTTTGTTTTTCTGCTAGAGACGGGAAGGGAATTATTCTGACAGCCTGAAGTGATCTGAAGGATCTTCTTCGAAACACCGTCCCTTTTCGAGCATGCCCCCCCCACCCCCTGTCCACCAGGAACCCCACAATCTAAACAGGGAAGCAGTATGACCATTTTTAGGGGCTGTCATGGCTGTCCGTGTCACTGTGTGTGTGCGGCGGTAATTGCTGAAAGGTACAACAGCAGGTCCTATCCAGAGATTAGATACACGTGTCCAAAGCCTTAACCAGCTGGGACATCTACATCTAACGGTTTTTGTTTATCCGAAACGCTCGTTTGTCAGCATTTGTCCTTTATACCCAGTGGCCGACGCGCTTCATTAACCTGATAAGGAGATAATGAATATCTGATCTTCTGCCAGTCCTTGCATGCAGCCTGTATCTCTGCTAAGTGTTTCATTACAAAGTACGAGTATGAGCTCCCAGCCAGGGGGCTTCCGGGCCCTTCTGAAGCACGCTGTTCAAAGGGGCACTGCTTTGGCAAAGAGTGGGTTTGTTGTAAAAAACACACTCGGACGTCTTTGTTTGTTGTCTGTCTCTTTGAGAGGGTCTTTCTCTGGCCGGGAGCATCAGCAGAGCTCCTTATATTGTTTTAGAGCCCAATTTGTAATTAAATCCTCCTTGATGTTGTCATTTTAGGGGAAGGTTTCTGCTGATGTGATCTGAGCATCACCCCTTCTGGCCGCTGTGAGCATTCGCCTTACGGGACTTTCGGTGTGATCGACACCCCGAGACGCTCCTGTAGACCTCTGGGTATGCCCGGCAAGCCTGCGGTGTTATATCGATTTTTCAGGCACCGGGTTAAACCTGAAATCTTATCTGTGTTCCTTCATGTATATCGTGGTTCTGCGAAGGTGACCTTTTTGGTAAAACCTAAACTGCTACAACAGCTGCCTTACCCTGGCACAGTCTTCTTCCAGAAGGTCCCTCCACTGTGTCTATACTAATCTGACACTAAAACAGGGGAATATTATTTTTAAACAAACACCCAGTTGTTTTATGACTAACGTGAACCGGCAGGCTGATGAGTCTCTCACTTGGCCTTTTTCCCAGAATTATTTCTATTATTGTCTTTGCATCATTCATTGCTTCTGTGGCAAAGTCTTGTCAGTTTTAAAGAGATATTCTGGTCTGTATAAATGTGAGTCTATCTCTGGTCTTTGTTACGATTTGCATATGCAGGACACAGTAGTAGAGAATGTTCATCGGGACCATGTGTTTCAAATGGGCTGCTTTCATGCTGGAGTATTGACGTAGTTACAGTAAAATTAATATCTTAAAAGGATGGTTATTTTTGCTGTGCGTTAAGCTCAAACTTTGAAACTCCAAGGTTTATTTTCCAGAGCTTTATGAGGGGGGTGTGGTTTTAGCCCTGAACATCTTTTAAGGAGTCAAGAGACTTTGTTACTGAATTATGACCTTCATTACATTATTAGGGCATGAGGTAAATGAAAAACCAGCAAAGCCAGTGACCATCAGGAACTCCGCTTCGCTCCAGAATGTGAGGTGTAATGAAAACCAGCAGAGCCTGCGGATTGACTCGGTTTTCCGGAGGAACGGTTCTGCCCAGACTGCTTTTCTCCTGGTGTAATCGTGACGGATGCTCCTGCCAGGGAGGATCAGCGGCCTGCCATCTTGCTGGCGTGGAATCCCGTCCAAGCTCCAGCAGAGCCTTAGACACTATCGGCGGCTGGCTGTCATGCAGCGGGACATGCGTGCGATGCTCTATGCAAATGAGCCTGATTGTCCTTGGAGTTCCCTTTGGATTATTCTGGGGTTTGATGGGATGACGTCCATCTTCCAGCTGCTTATCCAGGGAGGGGGGCGGGGGATGCCAGTCCATTGTAAGGCATGCAAACAAACACACACACACACACACACACACATACACATCTTGGCGTTCCTATCTAAATGGGGACCTTCCTTTCATTTCCATGGGAAAAGCCCTAATCCCAATCACAACACCTTTAACCCCTACCCAGCCCTAACCTTAACCATAAGAAACCACAGATTTTTATAAAACTGAGGTTATGCAAATGGCGACCTGAAAAAATGTCCTCAAAAGTTTCAGGTTTTACCATATTACCCAAGTGTGGTCTATGCAAACACAGACACACACACACATAGACAGACACACACACACACACACACACGGAGCCAGGGGCGGGATTTGAACCCACAGCCTTGCAGTGTTATCCACTGAGTCACTGTAATGCCTCTTAATAATGCACATATCTTATTTCCAGTACTGAATACTTATACTGTAATTAATGCATTAAAATATTATCCTTATATGCATGTAGTAATTATTAAATGATGTGTATTCCGTTTTATATTTCTTGGTCTGAAAAATTGCATGTTGTACCTTTTTTGGAGATGAGGTCATGCTGAGATCTGTTTGGGTGACATACGGCTTCAGTAGGACGCACCCGTGCATGCGGAGGTAGCTACTCTGTCGGCTGGGGGGCCGGGACAGGGTGGTGCCAACCCCCCCCCACGCCCTCTGTGAAATGAGGGGGGTTCAGGCTCCCCATCCTGGGCTCTCCCAGCTGCCTAGCTCTCTACCCAACCCCCCTCACGTCAAAGTCAGAAGTACATCCTCTGCCCCCCCCCGTGCCGCAGTGCCATCCAACAGCCCGTCATTAGGAATTACTTGAAATAAGTGATTGGCCACAAAAATTTAATTTGAATCCATTACCATGGCTTGCCACATGATGCACCATTCCTATCAGAAAAAAGAAACAACACATAAATAATTAAGCTCGAGATAAAAGACAGGATGAAGGTTTGCCAGATATTTCCTATAATTCTGCCGAAAAGATCGGCAAGACCAATTTACCTAGACCGGCTGAGTATGTCCAATTACATCTGTGATTAAAATCTTTGGACAGCTGCCTTTATTCAGAAATGCATGTTGATGATAAGTTAAAAAAAATCACCCAGGTTTGGACTATTATAAAACCTGGACTGGGCCTGTGGCCTTAGAGCTTAAGGCTGATTCTGAATGACGGCAGCTGACAGACTCTCAGTACCACCACATGCGGCTGTCATGGCTGCCCGAGCTGGAAAAATGGAAATTCTGAACTTACTATTAGCCCGATGTCTTGTCATGTTTTTAAGCAGGCGAGCAACTTTCAGTGATCTGTGCCTGTACCCTACTTCCAAAAAGTGTCTGGATTCTGCTTTTAAGTAATTATTAAATTAGAGTAAATTTCATTCATAAATTCGAGGCTTAACAAGAACTGCCTTCGGGTTTGGAAGCCGATATTTTTGCATTTTAAGGACACGCTGTAAAATTTGACATGATACACATCCGTCAGAAAGGCCTATTGTATTTTGTGTCGTCATGAAAGTTTAAAACCCAGGTGATTGGTTCTCTCCCTCTGTCAATCACTCACTGGGGTGGGACATGAGGGTCCCCAGAATGCCCTGTCCCTTGGCCATCATCCATTTGGACGAGCCTGCCAGCCGGGCAGGGAGACAGGGTCTGCTCCCTGCAGTCTTCCGGCAAAAGTGCTCCAGTGATCCAAATTAATTCCCTGTCTAATCTCTGGTTTTAATCCTGACCACTGATACCATCGAACAGCCCTCTGCAAACACAGCTAATGAGATCTTCTCAGCCAGATGATTTCTTTAATTGGCTGATAAACCGAGATCGGTGTTTCCCCCATATTTATTTATATACGCAGCCTGCTGAGGTTGCAGTGCTCGGATTGAGGGGGATCTGATAGCAGCAAATTGGCTGCAGTAAGTGTCATTATCTGTCTATGTGTGCGTTTCCTTCCTCAAACTGGGAACATTGCAGACCGGCAAAAATATATACATATATATTTAAAAGCTGAATTTTTCACTAACCGTTCTACTGCTGAATACGTCGGATGCGTCAATACTGTATATAATGCTAGTGTATGGCTGTGTTGTGTTTTACACAGTACTTCACAAAACAGCCAGTGAGAATGATGGTGTAAATTAATATCAGGGACTGTAAGCAGAAGCAGTGGAGTGCAGGGTGTGCTGAGAGCGGCGCGGCTCTGTCACGGCGCTCATCTGCCTCAGCCGCCCATCAGCCCGGCACCTGCGAGGTGTCGGCTGCCAGCTCTGGCATTTCCGCCGCCCGCCCGGCCGCCTCTCGGCTCTCCAATGAGAGGAAAGCGAGTTTCGGTGGGAACATCGATCGCCTGGCACCACAAGCCGGCACACGCTCTCTGGGGAAGGCGACATCGGCGCTGCTTCTCAGCCATTAGCAGGCGGCTAACTGGGCGATCATCCCGAAATTTAGCCCTTTGTCCCCAGGGGGCTCGTTCGGCCGCCAGGCGGGAATCGCCGGCCCATTACCTGCCCCCGTCCCTCTGTGGGGCTACGCTGATTATATAGTGAATTAGATTGGCAGCTGCCTCTGTTTCCAATGACTGCAAATGGCACCCAGTGCGGCACCGTTAGCATGGTCGCGGATCCAGGCCTGCCATTGTCTGACCTCAGAGGCATGAGCCACACGGCCGCCATCAGGGAACAGAGAAGGACACTGCCCTTTGTCTCTCTTAAGTGATCCGAGGCATACACGTGTTACACAAAGCCCCGGTCGTGCACTAATTTCACTTGTCAGGATTTCTGCAAACGGTGAACAGTCACTTCAGCGGCAAACGTAAGTGTGCCAACCATACCCCCCCACACCCCAAGGCATAATTGAATGTGTCAGTACCCTCCCATATCTCTCCCCGTTAGGCTGTCCGTTCCTCCTATTACCTCTGGTGTTACCAGCCCTCGAAGACACAGAGAACCAGCCGGAAATAAGGAGGCTGAGGATCCGTCAGGCTGATATGCTCACTTTTGGCGGTTCAGGGCTGAGCGAGACGGCGTTGTCCTTCCCACACCCGTCAGCTTAGCATGTGCACTTTTAATAACGGCTTGAAATTTCTGGTGACAAAACATTACATGCTCCCAATTTGCTCTGTTCTGTCATGGTCTAAGCTGCACAGAAATTCATGGTCAAGTTATACAGAATTTCAGGGAAGTTTTTTTAGTTCATTATTTTTTCATGAAAATATGAAGCATCACGATGATTTTCCACCATGTAAGACTAATCATCAAATTGCTGAAAGAAGACATCATTTTTTCATTGTGCATACAGTAAGTTACTAGACTGCACTGGTAATAATTAACAGTACCCATCAAAAGTTTGGGATTTTGGAATCTTTTCACACAATCAATAAAATTGATGCAATATATGTTTGTCATTTTACAAATGATTTCTCAGGAAAGCGTTCCATTTGGAAGTCGAGGGATTTGTGCACACAGTAGCTGAAGCCAGATATTTCTGCAATTCTCAGAGCTGGAAATTTGGATGGCAAGTGAGTCTCTGGTTAATTGTGAATTTCATGGCTGTGTTTAATTAAAAAGTAAAACTCAATCAAATCATTTATTAACCATGATTTGCATATAAAAAATGGAAATATTTTTCCTGATCACTGTTCATGTTCTGTTCTGAAAAGAAATGATTGTGCCAAAACTATGAGGCACCACAAACTTTTTTTGTTTTGGGTGGAAGTGTCCTGGGACTCGGAGGGAACCGCAGACTCTGGCAAGGCTGTCGCCATGGTGACGTGTTCATCCCCGGCTGGCGACGGCAGCTTTGAAGTGAAGGGGTAATCTGTTTGTGG